TCTATTTCTCTGAATTGGTGAGTTGAGTGGATTTACATTGATGGTTATAATAGAGATGTATTGGCTTATGATTGACATGTTATTTACCTGTTGTTGTGTACTTCTTTTTTTTCCTGTGTTTAATCATTTGCCCTATTTAGTTGTTTCCTTCTGATCTCATTTGTGGAGTTCTGATTATTTTCATCCCTCTCTATAACATCTTTCGGGAGCCTGTGTAGGGTCTTTGTCATCATGAAGTTCTTTCATTGTTCTCTGTCATGGAAATATTTCACTTCACCATCAAACTTTAAAGAGTGTTTTGCAGAGTATAGTATTCTGGGCTGGAATTTGTTTTCATAGAGGACTTGAAATACTTTTCTCCATGCTCTTCTTGTCTTCATGGTTCCTGAAGCGAATTTGGCCATAATTCTGATGGATTTTTCTTTGAATGTGATCTACTTCTTTTCTCTAGCAGCTCTCATTATATTATTCTTGTGCTGGATTTCTGGAATCTTGACTATCATATGTCTCGGTGTGTTTTTAATTGGGTTGAGGTTACTTTGCATTCTGTATGCTTCAGTTACCTGAATGTCAGGTTGTTTCCTCATATTTGGGAAGTTTTCTGCTATTACTACTGCCCATATTTTTTTTAATGTCATTTGTATTGACTCCTTCTTTCTCATTGATACCTATTAGTCTCACTTTTTTATTTTTGCATCGTCTTGCAAGTGGTGAATTATTTTTTCTTGCATCCTGGTTGTTTTTAAGAGATCTTGTCTTACCTTTTCACTAGCTTAATCAGCGTCTTCAAGATCTTAATCTCTATCTTCACTTTCACTAAAATGGTTTTGCAAGATTTTGATTGTGATTGTAAGTTCCTCTATATCTCTTTGACTCCACTTCATGCAATCTATTTCTTTCCTGTATTGTTCATTCAAGGAATCTGTCATTTTTCTAATCTCCTCTATTTTTTTTTATCAAGGTCTCCTTTATGAGCAGTTATTAATTCTTTTACTGCAGTGTTTTTTTTTCCATATTGGGTTTCCTCCCTAAGTTTCTGTATTTGATTCTTTCTTTCAGATGCTATGAGTTCAGATAATTCCTTTTTTATTTCAGAAAATAATTGTGCTCTGAATTCCTCTATGACTTTCTGCTGTTGCATATTTATTTTTGAAGGTATTAATTCATACATTTCATCTGAGCTAGTGTCTTCTGCACTTGTTCAGGATGGGCATTGACTTTCCTTCATGTTTCTGTCTGATTCTTTATTGCAGATGCTATTAATTCAGGCATTTCTTTTTTAATTTCCAATCTGAGTTCCTCTATACCTTTATGCAGTTGTTTCTTTATTTCAGAATCTACTCATTCATTAATTTCAGCTGTGTGATTCCCAATTTGTTCTGTGTTAGTGTCCTCTGCACTTGTTGTGGATAAGCTTTGGGGTCTGAGACTGAATTTGCTCCTTCTCATTGTCATTTTGTATAGCACTGTCTTCTGATCTTTGTTGTATAGCTTTTGTGCAGTTATAACCATAGCACCTACTGAAATTCACGTGCAGATTTACAAAGTTTGAATTTATCCAGCTGTTCTTTTCTTGGGTCTGGTTGCTGTGCTCAGCTCCTTCCTGCTGCTGCCCTAGGGAGTCATCCTATTTTGCCCCGCTGGCAAGATGTTCTGCTCCTGGACTAGCTGGATGTTTCTGTGCCCTACTCCCTCTGCAGGTACTGCAGCTGCAGAGTTTCACCCCAGTTTTGTATACCAGTCTTAAGCTGACTCTGAACAGGACAATGTGGAGTATGTTGGAGAGGAAGCTCTCCCACACACTCTCTGGGCCTGGGCTAGGGCCGGATCTGGTGGTCCTGAGAGCTTGGCAGAAGTTTCCACTCACTGGGCTGTAGTAGGGTGGGACTGGGGAGTTGTGGGCATTCCCAACGGGGTAAAAGAAGGTCTCACCCATGCTGCATCTGGTCTAATACCAGACAAGTCTTCCTGTCGCAGGGTAGCCAGAAGCTCTCCCACACACTCATTTGGCCTATGCTCGGCCTGGATCTGGGGTTCCCCAGAATGTAGTAGAAGTTATCACTGGGCTGGGGGAGGGTGCTGAGGAGTGGTGGTGGTCGGGTCTCAAGGGGGTGAAAGAGGGTCTCACCTATGCTGCACCTGGGCTTGGACCAGACAGGTCCCATGGGAGCAGGGTAGCTGGAACGTCTCCCACACACTCACTGGGCCTTGGCTAGGGCTTGATCTGAGGGTCCCAAGAAAGTAGTAGATGTTCTCACTCTGGGTGGGGGGCCAGGGGTGTGAGGAGAGGTGGGGGTTCCTAAGGGAGTGGAAGAGGGTCTCACCCACGCTGCACCTGGGCTTGGACCAGACAGGTCCTGCCAGAAGAAAATCTTGTGCTTTCTTTTGTGTGATAAATGTGTATTCACCCTCTGTCCTAGGTTGTTCAGTAGCTAGTGGCTGTTTCTTGCTGTTTGATAAGATAAAATTCCTTCCTTACTAATTCCTATAAACAAAGTTAGATGACTTAAAAATGAAACTAAATGGACTTAACTCCTTGTAACCTCAAACTATGTAAGGCTGTGTGTATTCAGGTTCAAGGTAATCAAAAACTAAAACAATGCCCCCAGAAAAATTAGGTTGAGTAGTGCTAAAGGCGTTATATTGTTTTACTTTTTTTCAGTACTGAGGATTGCCAGGCAAGTGCTTATTGTAAAATCATTATTTTGTGTCAGATGATAAATTTGTTTACTCAACTGGATGTGGTTATATGTTTTAAAAGCCCACTACTTCCTGACCTTGCTGCTGTTCAGTCTTTCCAGAGCTGACAAACCTGAGCTCAGTAATAAAAGTCTTCTTTAAATTCGTATCTGAGAATATTAAAATTTGGTAGAACACTTCTTTTGCATTAGCATTTAGTGTTAAAACAGCAAGGGATGTTATAAAGGAATCAGATCTCTATGTTTGCTGTTTAATGTATCATTTATTCTCATATCTTTCTATATATTCTTGTTATATCTTGGTAAATGGTCTGCCTTTGTAACTACTGCTATGCTTATTCATTCTATGTTGTAACTATGACCATAGCTGTGGCCGATTGTAAGATACACCCATGTATTGGCAGTATTCTAAAGATACTCCTAGGGACAAGATGTGATTAGGATTCAGCACTTCTGTGTATCAAGAAATACATGTATATTACTGTTTTCTGTTTAAAACTTAAGCTGAATTTATTGTCACCTTTCTTGTCTATTCAAGAATAATTTTTCATGAGGTTTTTAGAATCATGTATTTTTATTTAATTATACTGTAAGGTTATATGTGATGATAAATTTTCTGTAGATAACTTTGAAATTTAAGACAAATATCTGAATATTATTTCTTAAATGATTTATACTCCATTCAAAAAATAAATTCTTACCTTGCTGGTCTGGCTTCTATTTTGAGTGACCCATAACAGTTTCCACTGAATAGGCTTCTTACATGCAGCTTTCCACACTGCCCTCTCAGGGGCACACTGCCTGGTCTCCAAGCATTCTTCTGAAATCAAGGTGGAAGTCTTCTTAACCTCAGAACTCCTGCATTCTGAAAGCACCGAAAACCAATGCCGTTTGGATGATACCAAGGTCTTCTGCCAGCTGCAACAGTAGCCAGGCTTCCTTTTCCTCTTGGCTATAGGGATCAACTTCCTGGATTGCTGAGCACTCTGACCCTGATTCTGAGGAATACATTCTCTTGTGCAGGAGCCATTCTGGAACCTGGTATGACCCCTGCTGCCATTCTGGTACAAGGGGTTCTGCGGTGTTCCCCTCAAGGCATAGTCCTTCACCCTTGCAATTCTGAGGCTGCAAAGGGTGGAGACGTTCTGCCTTCAGTGATGCCCTCAGGCCATCCTTTTAATTCTCTGGTTCCTTCTTGGAAATGGAGTTCCTCTCATCTTTATCTTTACAGTCTGCAACTTTATTGGAGCTTCCTTTCTGGCCAAACTCAAAACATTTTGAATCATCCTGCTGCACTCCTTGCTCTTCACTCTCAACATAAGTCTGACTAAAAGCCCCTAGTAATAGTCATGTCACTGCCCCAACATTTGGCTACTTTGAAATATCTTTTGAAAGATTAATCAATCTTCCATACTTAAACTCACTCTCAGGCAAAGTCTCTGGACATGAGCAAAATTCAGACTGCTTTTCTGCCAAGTCAAAATGCAAATGATCCAGAGTACAAAAACCAATGCAGTCCTTCTTTCCAGCAGAAACCTCTCCAGCCTGGTCTTTACAGGCCAGCTTTCTACTAGACTTCTGGTCTTCTGAGCTCTGACCAGAATTTCCCCTACAAAAGAGTCAAAACTGTTTCAGCTCTTCTCAAGTAGGCAATGTCTCTGAAACTTTCCTATCTTCCCATAAGTCTTTCCTAAAAACTCATAATCCACATGGTCAGGTTTAGACACAACAATGACCCCTCTCTTGTGATACTAAGTTCTGTCTCAGTTATTCTTCTCTCATTGCTGGGACAAATACCCAACACCCAAAATGAAGGAAGGAAAGCATTTATTAGCTCACAGTTACTGGAGGGATCAGTCCATACTTAGCTCACTCCAAGGCAGCCTGGCACACTGCAGAGAGCAACCTTTCATAGTGGGGTCAAAGAGCAAGAGCCTCAAACTCTTAATTTCACTTTGAACACAGTTTACCAGCTATTACCTATACATTGAGTGTTATATTAAACTACCTGAACATAAAATAAAATTCTCAAAAGATACTTTATACAAAAGATTTCTTCTTTTGCCTATAATTGCAATCTTTCTGGGAATTTTATTGTGCATTGCATGGTGATTTCAGGAAAAGTTGTATATCATTTTTTGGAATCAACTGACAGAATTTTTACTTGTGAATATTTTTCTCCCAACAGCAAGGCTACCTGTGTCATAAAAAGAGCTCTATTATGTCTGAGTTTACTCATATAATCTGTTCTGCTTCACTCTGTTAACTGTTGATCCTTGAACCAATATCATGTCTTTTCAGTTGCCATAACATTATAGTACATATGAGAAACTTCAGTCAAATTGAAGTGGCTGTTCAAATTGTGTTGCTTTTCTTGCCAAGTATGATATTTTTTATTAATTTTATTGAGAAAGAAATAACAATGAGACAGTTTCAAAACAGGTTAGTAGGATAGTTACAATAATTAATACATTGCATATTGTTGTCTTTGTAATAGTTATTCATAGTACAAGATGCTGACATGCTATCTTGTTTGAACTCTATTGCCAAATATGTTAGTTTTTATTGATTTTATGTATTTCTACATAAAATTTAGTATCAGCTTGTCATAGATAACACCAAAATTAATATGGTGATTGACACTAAATTTACTTTACACATAAATTTGGAGATAATTTATATATTAGGTTTCTAATTTCTATCAGGGTTTTTAGGATATATACTCATTTATTTGTTTGTTTGTTTATTGAGACAGGGTCTCAGTAGGTATTTTAGACAGGCCTTGAACTTAGTGTATAGCCTCAGCTGATCTTACAATTGCTGCAGTCCTACTGCCTCAGCCTCCTGAGTTCTGGGATTACAGGCATGTGCCATCATGCCTGACTCTTTTTTTGGTGTTATAATTATTTGTATAGTAATGTTCTAGGAATACAAAATTTCTTTGACATGTCTTCAAGTTAATTTTTTATGGAATATATTTAAGTAATTATTTGAGATCTACAAAAATTGAAATAATTTTATAATCACTTTCAAGTAATGTTTACTACACTTCTCAGTATTAGTAAGTTGTACATTCTGCCTCTTTCTGCTAATGATAAAATTTATGAATGGATAGTAAAAAAGAGATGGCTGATATGACCATTCAATCTTAAAACAGAAAGGTTTGGCATAATTAGAAGGAGAGATCTCCATGCAGAATATGAGCTTTGAGGATAGGAAACCACTGCTCCTATATCACAGTTTCCATTCCAGATACCAGCACTGTCCTGTCTTTGGTGTAGCTCAGGTTCCTGCTCTCTTGCCCTCTCTGCAGGAAACTGGACACAACCACAGCCACAGAGCAATGACTTCCTGTCTGACCCAGAAGTCTCTGCAGCCTCAGAGGGCCTGGCTGCCAACTCCTCAGGTGAGGACATCCTCAGGACAGAACCCTGCTCCTTCTCATGTCAGTATCTCTGACCTGACTCTGTCTCTTCTCAGATAGCAGAAAGCTGCGCCTCGTCGATGGGGGCGGTCGCTGTGCAGAGAGAGTGGAGATCCTGCATCAGGGCTCCTGGGGCACCATCTGTGATGACAGCTGGGACCTGAATGATGGCCAAGTGGTGTGCAGATGGCTAGACTGTGGAGCGGTCCTCAATGCCACAGTGTCTGCTCATTTTGGGCAGGGATCAGGGATAATATGGCTGGATGAGCTGAACCTCACAGGAGAAGAGTTCCACGTGTGGAACTGCCCTTTCCGTGGCTGGGGACAACACGACTGCTGGCACAAGGAAGACGCAGGAGTCATCTGCTCAGGTCTGTGCTCACATAGTTCTGTGTTGGATGGAGAGGGAGGGTATTAAGGATAGTTCCTGAGCCCTAGAGTTAGGTTAGAGGATTTCCTAAAGGTATAAAGGGAGGAGGCTCCTTCCTAGGGCCAGATTTTGTAGAAGAGGAGGAGATGAGTTGCTGTCACTTCCTCCTGCATCATCTGACGTTTTGGTCCTTTTTTTCTCAACTCTATCACCTAACACCATCATTTTCTACAATGTCCACCTGAACACAGGGCTCACCTTTTAGATACCTATGTGAGCAAAGCCAGGAGGGCTACACTTTGATCCTTATTGCCGCTTTAATAAAGTGGTGCATCCTCAGTGACTTTGAACAATAGAAATTATCTTACAGTCCTGTAGATAACCAGTCCTTATCAGGCTGGATTAATAATAAGGTGACAGTAAGACTACATTCCTCTGAGACTCTAGAAAGGATAGTTTCATCCCTCTTCTAGTTTCTAAAAGTTGCTGCTGTCCTTTAGGTCCTGGTTACCCTTTTCTTTGAACCAAATGCAGTATGAATAAGGGACTAAATGTGCATGGTCACATCTCCTTTTGACCAGTCTGGAAAGGTGATCTGCTTTTATTTATTTATTTATTTATTTATTTATTTATTTATTTATTTATTTATTGTGTTTTAGGAAGGGTCTACAGGGTGTTCAGGGTCTCACTACTAGGTCAGTCTTATAGTGATTGTCCTGTTTTACAGGTTCCCAAGAGCTGGCATTACAGGTGCATTCCACCATGCCCAGTCTCAATTGCCATCTCAGCACACCCTACTGGTGGGGCAAGGCACTGAAGGCCTAGGAATCAAACTCCCATTTCCTGCCTGCTTGCAGATGTTTTAATCCACTGAGCTATTTGGCTGGTCTGGTGATCTGCTTTTAGAATACAGTTCTAAAGACATGATTCATTAGGGGTCTCCTGGCTAATTCTGGAAAATCCAATATAATCTCATCATGAAAAGGTCCTTATTTTAATCTTGTCCTTAAAGCCTCTTTGCCATAGGAGGCAATATATTGATAGACTGCAAGGATCAGAAATTGGGCATATGTGGGTCTTCGTCATTCTATGTGCACCTGAATAACCATCCACATTATTTTTCACATGATCTATGAGATGTTCATTGATGAAACAGGATTGATCTTTTTGCCCTGTAGATCACCTTGATCAGGGTTCCTAATCTTTGCCAGTGATGTCACTGTGTCAGAAAGAGAAGGATTGGTTCAAGTTTGCAAAACAAGGAACAAGGATAGAAGTTTCAGTCTTTCCACACAGTGAGAGGTTTTTCAGCAAAAGATCAGTGAGAATTCACCACTTAGGTTTAAGAAGAGACAGAACACTTAAGATCTGACTCTTCACTGCATCCTTTTCTCTTTTATATTTCAGAGTTCCTGGCCCTCAGGGTGGTGAGCAAGGACCAGGAGTGTGCTGGGTGGCTGGAGGTTTTCTATAATGGAACCTGGGGCAGTGTCTGCCACAGCCCCATGGAAGACATGACCTTGTCAGTGATCTGCAGACATCTTGGCTGCGGGGACAGTGGGACCCTTGACACTTTTGTTCCTGCCAGGGAAGGTTCTAGACCACAGTGGGTAGATGGAATCCAGTGTAAGAAAACTGATGCCTCTCTCTGGCAGTGTTATTCTGACCCTTGGAACTCCAGATCTTGTCTTCCAAAGGATGAAGCTTATATCATTTGTGCAGGTGATGTACCATTTTCTTGTATCCTTCTCTATTCTTGTGTCTGTCAGGAGGGTTTAAAGTCAAACTTCTGTTACATAAACCACTTGAAATCTGCTATCATTTTGTTGAGTTTTTTATATGAAATATTTTAGGCTCAATAAACTGTTGTCAGGTCTTATGGTGTTCATTCAGTCCAAATGAGTAATCTGAGATTAAATGTAAGTTTAGGTACATTATTCACATTATTAAGTACATTAAATACATTGTTAAGTACAAGCTTAAAGAATATTATGATTAATTTTGAGAATCTAAGTCTACTTGATTCATCTTTTTATCTTGTGGTTCTTTACTCTGAACTACACCTACAACATTCAGACAAGTTCCAACATAAATATTTTGGAAGAAAGAAATTCAGAACAATTTAAAAGAAAGTTGATTTCAGACTAGACCAAAGAAGAAAATATAGTCACTCCCTTATGGACACTCAAAAGTGCAGACAGCATATGTTAGCCTAAAATTTTAATGTCAAAATTTGAACACTGCTGTAAATACTTATACATCAATGAATAAAGGAAGTCATGTTAGGTTAAGCTGTGAAAAATGAGTAGGCTTCATTCAGTGAAGAAAGTAATAAGGAAAAGTTATCATCAAGACATCAACCAATTACAAATGCTGATGATGCTGTGAGGAAAGAGGAACACTTTTCCACTGTTGGTGAGTATACAGTTTTGTGCAACCACAATGGAAATCAGTATGAAAATCCTCATAAAACTAGGATTAGAGGTCACATTCAATCCAGCTATTCCCCCCCTGGGTATTTTTCCAGAAGTACTGAAAGCAGCATACCACAGCTATATATGTACATCCATGTATAGAACAGCACAGTTTGTCCTAGCTACATCTTGGAACTGATCCAAATGCCTACCACTGGGGAATGAATGCATAAAGAAATGGTATTTTTACACAATAGTGTATTACTTATGTATATAAAATGGTAAACTTGAGGCTTTTATTGGTAAATGGATGCAACTAGAGACCACACTGGCAAGTAAAATAAATCGGACCCACGTGTGCAGTCATCACATTGTCTCTTCCCACACTATGGAACCTGAGTGGATGTAATCTGAAGGGTAACATGGATACCATGAAAGGGAAAGAAGCTATTCTGAGGAAAGGAACAACTGGAATGAGGGAAAGGAACAACAAAACAAGAAAGGGAGAGAAAAAATTATGTATATACATAGGAGAGTAATAGCTTGGATAGTTGTTCTGCTAATTTCTACCTCTCTGTTTTAAGCAATAGTTGTTTTTTTTTTCTTTTTTTGACCAATCTTATAAGATTTTATCTGTTAATCTAAATAACTAATTTGAAAACAATAACTTGCAATATAACTACTATTGCTGAATTCCTATCATTTTTTAAGTGACATTGTGTATCACAAAAAAAAGAAAGAAATCACTTGGCATATGTGAACACTGATGGGGAAACATTATATCTCTAAGATAAAAAGACAACTTCTTCAATGCCACAGCAGGGGAAAAGTGCAAGAGACACAAGCCTATATAATATAGTGGCCATAGAGAATGTCATCTTTTAAACAGACCCAATAACAATAACAATCCTTCTGCAGAGACATTTAGTTGTTTATGGTGTTTTCCACCTCATAATGAGGAACTGTGGAAAAGTCAGGGAACTAATTTCCCCTCATTTTCATATGGAGTTTCTTTTTTTAAGAAGCTCAAGCTTCTGGGTTCAGATTTCATCATCCAAGTCTTTTTTTTTTATTTTAATACTGTAAAGCTATAGCTTTCTCCACCTCACACAATATATTCCATGGTGCCTTGCCTGAATTTCAAGCCTGTCATCTTCCCATTTCTTTATACAAGAAATATTTCCGGGCTGGTGAGATGGCTCAGTGGTCTAAAGCACCTACTTAGAACAAGCTCAGCAAAGCACAGGGACCCTGGTTCAATCCCCCAGCACCACATGCCAGCCCGCCCTGCCCCCTGGTGGGCTGAGCTGGCCACACACACACACACACACACACACACACACACACACCACACACCACACACACACACACTAAATAAATAAAATTAAAAAAGAAATATTTCCATCATTCCATATTCTAATCAATCTGTTCTCTGAAAGCATTAAATCTCAATCACTTACACACAAAAGAGACAACATCCTAACCTCTCAGTGCATTGAAACTTTCATTTCTTGAGCACCTTCCTTCTGTTTCACTTCAGTGTATGGCTACACCACTGACCAACAGCAGATGGGGCACCTTTCAGATCTTGTTCTGTTCTCTATTTCTTGTTTTCCTATGAAGCAGTTTCTTAATCGCTACCTTATCTTTTTCCTGACAAATTTTCTCTAGATTCCATGTGTACACAACTACCTTTCCTTGTATTTTCTAGTAAAATACAGAAAAAATTAAAATCATCTATCAAGCATTTCCTTGCCTGTACCAAACTGAGAAAAGGACTAGTGAACTATGCCCAACTACTGAACAATTATCTTGGAATAATACATAAATAGCTTATAGTAGTATTCATGGATACAGTTCCAAACTGTCTCCAATTTCTAGTGTGCTTCTCTGGTATGGACATTTACCAAATTGTAGTACGTTACATCCTCTCTGCTCTGTATACTCTGCTCTTTTAACTCAAGCATCTACTCTTAAATGATGCTTTTGTCTCATTTTTTTTTATTTTTTTTTATTTTAACATTTAGTGTGTGTGTGTGTGTGTGTGTGTGTGTGTGTGTGTGTGTGGCCAGCTCAGCCCACCAGGGGGCGCGGCTAGCTGGCATGTGGTGCTGGAGGATCGAACCGCGGTCCCTGTGCTTTGCCAAGCTTGTTCCAAGTAGGTGCTTTAGACCACTGAGCCATCTCTCCAGCCCCATGTCTCATTTATTTTTGAAAGCATAAAAATTTCAGCTGCACACTCAACAAGTCTGCAAATTTACATCTGGTGTCCATTACCTATCTGGTTTCCTGGATGAGTGGCTTCAGTCTTCATTTTAGGCCAGCTCTGCTTCTGAGCTACACATCCGAGTCCCACTAACCTCACTGAAGACTTTCTTCTTCTGTGTTGCTTTCTTCTGCTGCTTCATCAATCTCAAAACTTCCTCCTTCAAATCATTCTCACCCTATATATATGTGTGTTCAAATTTCTTGCATCTTTAAAATCAAATGAACATTCTCTGCCCACTCTACTTTCTTCTCCAGTTATAATCCCATGACTTTTCTCCCCTCTATAGTCAAAATCTCCAAAAGTATTGTCAATAGTCACTTGCTCTAATTTTGATATCACTGATTATGATGAATGTAGTTTAATTCAACTTTCACCATTCAGTACACATAACAAATGGGTTACTCAAAGAGATACAGAAATAAGATATAACAACTATATATATTCTAATAATACCTTTTTTCTCATCAACATTCAACTAACTGAGATTTTCCTTTTTTTGTCCCTCTTTAAAGTTACTCGTTTTATTTTGTTTTACTGAATTTTTACTTGTTTATTCAGATTTTGGATGTAGACATGCTTTGGTATCAGCCCCATATTCACTTCTTGCTGAGATCTGTGGTCATAGAAGTTATCATTGTAGTGAAACCTCTCAAATACAAATCTCCAAAGCCCAACTCTGTCAGGAATTCCAAACATTTTCATTTCTCTGTTAATTCATATCTTCACTTGAATATCTAATGGGCACATACAATTTCATACTTCATGTACAATGCTTAATTCCCTCCCTCTAAATTTCCTTTTTGCTATGGTCCTATTTCAGCTAATGTCAATTCTATTCCACAGTATTTAGGCTCAGTCCACTGCAATTCTCCATGTTTTTTCTCTCTTCAGTGGCAGCAGTAAGTTGTGTTGCCTTTTTCTGCAAATATCTCCTATCTCATTGTCATGTCAGTTCAGGGAACTTATTGTTAGTATCTAAGACCACTGTTTGTTCCAACAGAATTCACTGGTCACCTCTTCCATACTCTTTTATAATATCGTCTCTATTCAATGCTAGAAGTATATTCATTTCTATTACAATTTGGTATATTGATGTGTGAGGGGTTGACCTGCAGTTAGAAGTGAGATGAGCACATATTCCTCTGTATCTGAGAAACAAGACTCCTTGAAGAATGTCTCATAGTATTCTGTCATTAACTTAGTTACCAAAAAAGGAAGGAGAAATGCAGTCAGTTTGTTATTCTTAGACTCCCCAGGTCTTTACAAGAATGAGAACAAGGCTGTGAATTGCTTCAAGGAAAAGGATTCTCACTGATGGACAAAAATCATTAGACTTAGGTCAGTGTTAGTATAAATAACATAAACAGGGCTCATCCAAATGAGGTCCACAGGAATATTTGGCGCTGTCTGGCAAAGAGAACTGGAGGTACAGAAGACATTTAGATAAAGAATGGCCAGCTTGACTTCCCTTACAGTCTTCCTTCTGCTCTCTGCCCTACATCACCCACACTTGCACTTGCTACACCCGCATTTTTCACATGCTTGATATTAAAAAAATTATTGTGTTCCAGTATTTAGTTTTAGGTTTATAAAGTAAATATTTCCTTTTTATATCAGCAAATTATAAAAAAATTATTTTTGTATACAAGGAAAGCATATAAAAGTGAAAAAGGACATCAGTCTTATAACATTACCTCTGCCCCAAGTCCAGTCATATTCCTGTGACATAAATATAATTAAATAACAATAAGGACTATT